GTCAGTGATGGTCTGGGGGGGCATCTCCATGGAGGGACACACAGACTTCTACAGGCTAGACAATGGCCCCCTGACTGCCATTAGGTATGGGGATGAAATCCTTGGACCCATTGTCAGACCCTACGCTGGTGCAGTGGGTCCTGGGTTCCTCCTGGTGCGGTGGGTCCTGGGTTCCTCCTGGTGCAGTGGGTTCTGGGTTCCTCCTGGTGCAGTGGGTCCTGGATTCCTCCTGGTGCGGTGGGTCCTGGGTTCCTCCTGGTGCGGTGGGTCCTGGGTTCCTCCTGGTGCGGTGGGTCCTGGGTTCCTCCTGGTGCGGTGGGTCCTGGGTTCCTCCTGGTGCAGTGGGTCCTTGGTTCCTCCTGGTGCCGTGGGTCCCGGGCTCCTCCTGGTGCAGACAATGCCCGACCTCATGTGGGGAGAATGCAGGCAGTTCCTGGAGGATGAAGGAATTGATACCATTGAATGGCCCCCACACTCACCTGACCTAAATCCAATAGAACCCCTCTGGGATGTCATGTTTTGGTCCATCCGACGCCGCCAGGTTGCACCTCAGACTGTCCAGGAGCTCAGTGACGCCCTGGTCCAGATCTGGGAGGAAATCCCCCAGGACACCATCCGCGGTCTCATTAGGATCCTCCCCCGACGTTGTCAGGCATGCATACAAGCACGTGGGGGCCACACAGACTACTGAGGGCCATTCTGAGTTGCGGCAATGACATTTCACCAACATGGACCCCACTGCTGCATCATTACTTTGATAAAACACGCCTTAGGATAAAACACCACTCTGATGTATCACCGGATCCTCCCCAGAGCTATACACTCTGTCAGCAGCTTTAAACAAACTCGTGCAGACTCCACCTCCGCAACGTGCAGACTCCACCTCCGCAACATGCAGACTCCACCTCCGCAACGTGCAGACTCCACCTCCGCAACATGCAGACTCCACCTCCGCAACATGCAGACTCCGCCTCCGCAACATGCAGACTCCACCTCTGCAACATGCAGACTCCACCCCCGCAACATGCAGACTCCACCTCCGCAACATGCAGACTCCACCTCCGCAACATGCAGACTCCACCCCCGCAACATGCAGACTCCACCTCCGCAACATGCAGACTCCACCTCCGCAACATGCAGACTCCACCTCCGCAACATGCAGACTCCACCCCCGCAACATGCAGACTCCACCTCCGCAACATGCAGACTCCACCTCCGCAACATGCAGACTCCACCTCCGCAACATGCAGACTCCACCTCCGCAACATGCAGACTCCACCCCCGCAACATGCAGACTCCACCTCCGCAACATGCAGACTCCACCTCCGCAACATTGCCAAAATCTGCACGTTCCTAACCCCAGAAACCACTAAACAGCTCATCCACTCCCTCATCATATCACGACTCGACTACTGCAACTGCCTCCTCACTGGCCTGCCTTGCCGCTGGCTATCCCCGCTTCAGTCCATCCTGAATACGGCTGCCAGACTCATTCACCTTTCCAACCGCTCCATCTCCGCCACCCCCCCTCTGCCAATCCCTCCACTGGCCTCCACTCAGTGTCCTCCACCCCCCTCTGCCAATCCCTCCACTGGCCTCCATTCAGTGTCCTCCACCCCTCTCTGCCAATCCCTCCACTGGCCTCCACTCAATGTCCTCCACCCCCCTCTGCCAATCCCTCCACTGGCCTCCACTCAGTGTCCTCCACCCCCCTCTGCCAATCTCTCCACTGGCCTCCATTCAGTGTCCTCCGCCCCTCTCTGCCAATCCCTCCACTGGCCTCCATTCAGTGTCCTCCACCCCCCTCTGCCAATCCCTCCACTGGCCTCCACTCAGTGTCCTCCACCCCCCTCTGCCAATCCCTCCACTGGCCTCCATTCAGTGTCCTCCACCCCTCTCTGCCAATCCCTCCAATGGCTTCCATTCAGTGTCCTCCACCCCTCTCTGCCAATCCCTCCACTGGCCTCCACTCAATGTCCTCCACCCCCCTCTGCCAATCCCTGCACTGGCCTCCACTCAGTGTCCTCCACCCCCCTCTGCCAATCCCTCCACTGGCCTCCACTCAGTGTCCTCCACCCCTCTCTGCCAATCCCTGCACTGGCCTCCACTCAGTGTCCTACACCCCTCTCTGCCAATCCCTCCACTGGCCTCCATTCAGTGTCCTCCACCCCTCTCTGCCAATCTCTCCACTGGCCTCCATTCAGTGTCCTCCGCCCCTCTCTGCCAATCCCTCCACTGGCCTCCATTCAGTGTCCTCCACCCCTCTCTGCCAATCCCTCCACTGGCCTCCACTCAGTGTCCTCCGCCCCCTCTCTGCCAATCCCTCCACTGGCCTCCATTCAGTGTCCTCCACCCCCCTCTGCCAATCCCTGCACTGGCCTCCACTCAGTGTCCTCCACCCCCCCTCTGCCAATCCCTCCACTGGCCTCCACTCAGTGTCCTCCACCCCCCTCTGCCAATCCCTCCACTGACCTCCACTCAGTGTCCTCCACCCCTCTCTGCCAATCCCTCCACTCAGTGTCCTCCACCCCTCTCTGCCAATCCCTCCACTGGCCTCCACTCAGTGTCCTCCACCCTCCCTCTGCCAATCCCTCCACTGGCTTCCGATTGCGCAACGGATCAAATTCAAAATCCTAACACTGACGTACAAAGCTGTCCACCATACTGCCCCGAACTACATCACCGACCTAATATCCAAGTACCGCCCAACACGCACTCTCCGCTCCTCACAAGACCTCCTTCTCTCTAGTTTCCTGGTCTCCTCCTCCCATGCCCGCCTCCAGGACTTCTCCAGGGTGTCACCCATCCTCTGGAACTCCCTGCCCCAACCCATCAGATTATCACCTACTCTCCTCTCCTTTAGGTGCACCCTGAAAACCCACCTCTTCAGGGAAGCCTACCCCACCCCCTGCTAACCTGCCGACCTCCTCCACTCTTCCTACCACTCCATCCCCCACAGCTATCTCCTCCTGTGCCACCATCCCCTCCCTCCTAGATTGTAAGCTCCAAGGATCAGGGCCCTCGATCCCCTCATGTATCACATTGTATTGGTATTGTTCTGTCACATGTTCTGTCCCCCTCTGTAATGTACAGCGCTGAGCGAACTATGGGGGCTTTATAAATACTGTATAATAATAATATTTGAGTGATTTTGACAGATTTATTGCTGTGATCACTCTGACACTTTGAATATTCCCGGTGGGAATACACGTGTTGCACTTTATTTAATTTCTATTTGCACATTTTCATGGATTTTTAGATCACTGATTTATATATTTATTGTAATTTTATTTATGTTATATATTTAGGGTTTAGCGCTGCACCTTTTACTATTGATTGACAGTGTCTAAGTGGTTAGCACTTCCGCCTGGCAGTACTCAGGTCATTGGTTCAAATCTCAACCACAGCACCACCTGACTGGAGTTTGCATGTTCTCCCTGTGCCTGCGTGGGTTTCCTCTGGGTGCTCCAGTTTCCTCCCACACTCCAAAGACATGCTGGTAGGATAATTGGATCCTGTCCAAATTGGCCCTAGTATGTGTATGTATGTAGGTTAGGGACCTTAGATTGTGTGCTCCTCGGGGGCGGGGACTGATGGGAATGTAATATATATATATATATATATATATATATATATATAAAGGTGATGAGTAAATTGATGGTGCTGTATAAGTACCTGGAATCAATAAATAAAATATGGGATGCTAATCGCACTTCCAAACATGACCAGTAGAGAGAGCTCTGAGAGACCTATAGATGAAAATAGTGACAAAAAGTGGAGCCCATAGTGGAATTAGGACTCACTTTGGTTTCCTATTGAAGGTGATGCCAATAAAGAGACCTGTCATTCAGAACTGGTCATTACTGCTGAAGCACAGGATCAAATGTCTAAACTATATATAAGTGAAATCCCGGCTCAGGGTTTGAAGAAGATTGCTAATTGATGTTTGCTGGAGGGCACTGTGCTGAAGTCCTGGTCTGGAGAAGGGTCTTGTAATCTCCCTCACTGAGGATCTACCTGTGGATGCTGGGTGGCAGACAGCTTTTGGGACACTGGGAGTACAGACCTTGTTGGGGACTATTAGTTGTGCAAGTGGCAGAAGGGATCTACAGTAAATGCCAGAGGTTGCTATATGGACTGCTGTAGGGTCCTAGATATACTGGCCATTCCTTGCTACCCCAGAAAAGTTGCTATTTGAAGATTAAAGAGAAGTTTGTCCTTCTATTGTTGCTAATAATTGTCAGGTCTCTGGTACCCCTGCTAAAACCAATTCATTGGTGGTCAGTGGGAAAATTCCCCTTCCATTAGTGGAAAGAAATCCCCCTTTACAGTGGGGGTCAGAAGGCCACCTCATAGATGGCTGAAAAGATCATTGGAGTCATGCTGTTGGCTCCGTCAAGTGGCATTGGCCCCAAAACTAAGCAGGCACCATACGATGGGAGGTCCATCAGCCACTGGTCAACAAACACCTAGCAACCTCTTCCCCAGGCTTCCACGGTACCCTGATTGAGGATGGCTGCTGTAGGCTGAGCTTTATATCTTTATATTCACCTTTTGCAGATATTTTTAGGACGACCACATGATGAGCAGGATCTTATTTTGATCTCCTCCCACCAGAGGGCCCTCCGTAAAGCAAAGATGTCTTCTTTGCATCATTACACTGTGATTGCTGGGCGCCATCAGTGGACGAGTCCATGATATCCTACACTCACTGTATGTCCTCAGTCATCCAAGCTGAATGACATTTGGATATCATTCAATCTAGAAGACTTCTCGTGGCAGAAAATAAGTTCTGCAGATGATAGCTGCAGATTAAGAGAAAGTATTGCTGCAATAACTTTTAAATGAAGTCAGTGAGAGTGGAAGCAGCTCCATCATCTGCGCTCCCACAGGAAACGTATGCCAGAAAAATTGGTTTGTTTTGATATCTCTGAACATGAACAAGGAAAGGTGCCTGGCCACCCTATCTAACCTCTTGTATTTTATCTCCGCAGGTCACAATGATCAACTTTACAGTCCTACAGACCGATGTCAATGACAGTCTTCCCACCATACTGGTACCGAAACCCAACGAGACCACCATCATCCACATCGAAGTTCCTAAAGGGGTTTTCCTATTCTTGTGTATTCTCAGCTTGTTGGAAAACATCTTGGTGGTTGTGGCCATTGCAAAAAATCACAACCTCCACTCTCCTATGTACTACTTCATCTGCTGCCTGGCCGCTTCTGATATGCTTGTCAGCATCAGCAATCTCATCGAGACGGTGATCCTGGTCTTGCTGAGCCATGCCGTCATAGGCTACAATGAACCAATGGTCAAGATGATGGACAACATTGTGGACACCATGATCTTGTGCTCGCTGGTGACATCACTATCATTTCTTGGAGCCATTGCTGTAGATCGCTACGTCACAATCTTCTACGCTCTGAGATATCACAACATCATTACCCAACGAAGAGTAATCAATGCCATCGCCGGGATCTGGTTGGCCAGTACCGCCTGTAGCATTACATTCATTGTGTTTTCCAACAGCCACGTCGTCATATTTTGTCTTATTGTGTTTTTCATCTTCATGTTGGTTTTAATGTTGGGCCTCTACATCCACATGTTTATCTTGGCCAGACGCCACTCACAGAGCATTTCGGCCCAACAGAAAGGGGTAGGAAGACGACTTTCCCCACATCAAGTGGCAGCCAAGCTAAGGGGAGCCATCACCCTAACAATATTACTTGGTATCTTCTTCCTTTGCTGGGGACCATTCTTCCTTCATCTTACCTTAATCGTCTCCTGCCCCAAGCACCCATTCTGCCTCGGATACTTTAAATATTTTAACATCAGTTACGTCCTGATCATTTTTAACTCCATTATCGACCCCATAATCTACGCGTTCCGGAGTCAGGAGCTGAGGAAAACCTTAAGGGACATTGTGTTTTGCTCCCAATGATGGTGCGAGGGGGTTAGGGAGAATAGAAGCTTAGAACTAAAGGTCTGAACTTCTTCAAAATTCTCCCTTTCCCCCCCCATAATGTTGTTATAGTATGAAACTAAATGATTTCATGAGGACTTTGCAAAAAAAAAAAAAAAAAACTTCAAAACTATAGATATAAATGACAAGGAAGCCAAATAAGTGATAGAACTTTAGGTATTAGACTTTTGTCTGACTTTTATCCATAAAATTCGATGCTGTCCTGGAAAAATGAAATCTGGTTGGAGTTTGGACAATTCTTATGAAGGATTCTTGGATGCAGGAACTCTATTATTATTGTAGAGTGATGATATCATCATGTGGAACCCACAATCGAGTCACGGCCCATGTGTAGTGAAGCCTCTTGTTCTTTAAGTAACCTGAAGCCTAGGCAACTACAAGAACCCAGACATCATGGTGGCATCTGGAAGGACTGGAGCAACCAATGAGATCCTCCATATGCAGTTCAGAATGGAAGTAAGGGCTTGACTAGCTGCTATGGAGAACCTTTTAGGCACCTCCACCATATTGAGGCTTAGTAGGTGAAGGCCTAGATCCCCCTCTAGGCTCTAGTAGATTTATTATTCAAGCACCAAACTCAGGGGCTCATTCGTTGTTTTCCCTGCATCCAGCGTAGGTCAACCAATACTGATTCGAAGCTTTCATGCAAGCAATGGATCATTAACCCGCGTGTAATAAGTTCACAGTTATTAGACATCTGAGATTTTTTTCATTTTTATTGTTTTTCGGGGACAGACTAAAACATTTAATGTGAAAATGGCTTAATGTAGCTTAACGTGTAATAAACTGCCTAAACCTCAATCAATTGACTTGAAACTTTGCACAGCCCAAGTTCCCAACTTACCAAACATGTCCTAGAAGTTTCATAGATTTTAGCCTTCCACAAAGAAAATGGGGGACATTAAGCTTGTTTTTTGGGGATCATAATGTGGCTTAACATACAAAAAAGAGCTTAGATGTTGACCAATTTCCCCCAAACTTCACACCATAGAATACTCTATCTATGGCAACATATTCTGAAAATTTCGGGTCATTTTGTAAATAACTCCAAAAGTTATTCACATTAAGCTATATATAACAGTGCTAAAACATTTAATGTGAAGAGCTTAATGTAAAAAGAGCTTAACGTACCATAATGTGCCGAAACCTCAATCAATTGACTTGAAACTTTGCACAGCCCAAGTTCTCAACATCCCAAACATGTCCTAGAAGTTTCATGGGTTTTGATCTCCCACAAAGCAAGTGAGTGACATTAAGCTTGTGTAGACCCTACCACCTTGTGTGGTGGCCATAGCGTGGGACAGCCAATGGGGGAATATTATGAGTGTGTGTTTGTAGCTCACCAGCCAATCACTGGGGAATTCTTGGCTTGTGGTGCATGCTTGGGAAGTGCATTCTTCCAAGTTCCAAATACCTGTCAATATCGGCACAAAAACCTTCCGGCTTCTGCTAGAAAGCTGAACATGAAGAGGAACTTCATCTTTTGGCATGACAACGACCCAAGCATACATCCAAATCAACAAAGGAATGGCTTCACCAGAAGATGATTAAAGTTTTAGAACGGCCCAGCCAGAGCCCAGACCTGAATCCGATTGAAAATCTGTGGGGTGATCTGAAGAGGGCTGTGCACAGGAGATGAATTCACAATCTGACAGATTTGAAGAGTTTTTGCAAGGAAGAGTGGGCAAATATTGCCAAGTCAAGATGTGTCATGCTGATAGACTCATCCCCAAAACGACTGAGTGCTGTAATAACATGAAAAGTGCTTCAACAAAGTATTAGTTTAAGGGTGTGCACACTTATGCACCCATATTATTTTAGTTTTTTATTTTTACTTCCCTCCACCGAAAATATTTCAGTATGTTTTTCAACTGAGTTGTACAGTTTATAGGTCACATTAAAGGTGGAAATTTTTCTGAAATTGTTTTTCTTTGTCTCATTTTTCTTACATCACAGAAACCTGACTTTTTTAATAGTGGAATGTCGACTTTTTATATCCACTGTATATATTCATGAGAATTGCTGTGTGCTCAATCTTAGTACAGTCTACCTCCAGGCTTGGCCTGGGGAGGTAATGCTTATGTGCAGGAAAGGTTTGACTAGGCCTCAAGCCTAGAAGGGGCCTCACATGCTGATTGAGGAGGAGAATGAGAGAAACTGGATGGCTACTGGAGGTACCTGGTACTAGAATGTACCTAAGGGGCAAGTCTGTCTGACCTATTGAAGATCACATGACTATCCATATTTAGCTGTTCCTCTAATAACCAGTGCCGGCTTGTGCTCCTATGGACTCTGCACTGTGAAATACTGAAAGGGTCTGCTGAGTCTGGAGTTCTTTTCTAATATAGTTTTGACATGAATGTTCTGAGCCCTGAATGTCCTATCTCCCAGTTATGGAGTTCCCCAATAAAGAATTCAAAGATGTACTTAAACTGACTGGTGCCCAACTTTTCTTTGATCGCACATCTCTTCACTGGCCTAGGATCTGCACAAAAACAAAATGTCAGCCTTCCCTGCCTTTGAGGGTCCACGCTACGCCTCGGGGGGTCAGGGGGGTGCTGTACTTATTTTTAGGGGAACTAATTGTGGCTTAAAGTACAAAAGAGAGCTTGGATGTTATCCAATTTCCTCAAAATGTATACAATAGAAGACTCTATCTATGCCAACATATTATACAAATCTCAGGTTGTTTGGTAAAACAGACTAAAGATTATTAACATTTAAAGGAGAACTCTGGGCAAAAACTTTTTTTACATGTTCTTGTTGCTTATCTCCTGCCTTCCCTGAATATGTAATCCATATTCTTGTTATCTGAGTATTTGTTCTGAAATAGCCTGGTTATATTTAAATCAAACCCTTAATCCCCATTGGTTTCCTTCTAGTAAGACCGATCACTGCTATGCCTCCTATTCCCACAGACACCGGTCTTGGTACATCCCATCTGTAGTTCTGTTCTCCAGCAAGCTGGAATGTATTTCCATCCCTGCTTGTTGCAGTGGGCGGACCAGGATACACAGACTGCCGGTCTGTACCGTCCATGGAGGTGGTGTCCTAGGAATGACAGCTCCCCTGGGCTGCTCTGAAAGGCTACATCCAAGGGAGTCTGTAACCCATGCTGCCTGCACATTGGGGTAGCATCACAGCTGGCTCAGAATCCTCTGTTTGCTGTACCATCCGAAGACCAGCTTTCAGAAGACCAGCTTTCCGGTTCTGGTAGCGGCTGCCCAATGTCCCCCAGTGAAATCACTGGTTGCTAGGACCGCCTGGTTATTTTCAGAATATGTTGCCATTGATAGAGTCTTCTAAAGTGTGAAGTTTGGGGGAGATTGGTCAACATCTAAGCTTTTTTTTTATACGTTAAGACACATTAAGCTCCCCAAAAAACAAGCTTAATGTCCCCCATTTTCTTTGTGGAAGGCTGAAATCTATGAAACTTCTAGGACATGTTTGGGATGTTGGGAACTTGGGCTGTGCAAAGTTTCAAGTCAATTGATTGAGGTTTAGGCACATTATGGTACGTTAAGCTCTTTTTACATTAAGCTCTTCACATTAAATGTTTTAGCACTGTTATATATAGCTTAATGTGAATAACTTTTGGAGTGATTTACCAAATGACCCAAAATTTTCAGAATATGTTGCCATTGATAGAGTCTTCTAATGTGTGAAGTTTGGGGGAGATTGGTCAACATCTAAGCTCTTTTTTGTACGTTAAGCTACATTAAGCTCCCCAAAAAACAAGCTTAATGTCCCCCATTTTCTTTGTGGAAGGCTGAAATCTATGAAACTTCTAGGACATGTTTGGGATGTTGAGAACTTGGGCTGTGCAAAGTTTCAAGTCAATTGATTGAGATTTAGGCAGTTTATTACACGTTAAGCTACATTAAGCCATTTTCACATTAAATGTTTTAGTCTGTCCCGTTTTTCGGACAAAAAGTCATTTTTGGAGATTCGGTTGTATCCACATCTACGAATGCACACAGAAACAAATGGCAACAAATTCGAAAAAAAAAAATGTATAGCAAAATTAAGAATGCATTTGTTTCATTCGGATGACGTCACATGATGTGATGCTAATTCACGCCCATGGGGAACGGAACTCAATTTTTGACTTTGATCATTTGGATTGGGAAAACTAATGGAACCGAATTTCATTCCATTAGTTAATTCGGATGCTCATGACTCCAGATGATATTGTCCAATCCGCTTATGCCATTTTTCTTGGTGAGTTGGACTAGCGTCTGAAAATATTGAATCCGTCCGATATCGAATTTGTAGCAATTTTCCAGGAAAAACTTAAAAATGTTTTGAATCCATCTGGACCAACAAATATCTGAAACGAATGCTGAAGATACAAAATGAACCCCAAAAATGAATCAAGTTATGTTGTTTCGAATATGACAAAATGAAATTCTTCGATGAACAAATGAATCCGAAGGGAAGCGAGAAAACCCTCCGGCGTGCACATGTCTCACAGTTATGGCTGAAGAGATTCCCATAATCGTCTTGTCTGTATTCGAATGAATGAAGCTAATGGAAATGACCTTCTGGCACAGGAGATATCGGTCACCAGAGGAGACGACTGTAAATAAAACCTCCCAGAATAATTCCCGGGATGACGCTCGGCTCAATGAACGGTTTGGAGAAACGTTTCAAAGACCGATAATGGTGATGATGATCCGGAATGATTCAGTTCCATAAACGCCGGACTAGCCTTCAATTGCTGTCGTGTTGAAATATTTAATCCCTGAAATGCCGTCCAATAGTCCCGAGAGCGGGGAGTACAAAGTCACTTCTAATGAGGATGATGTATGACTGTGATAAGGACATTGAATGATGAGCTCATCGAGGGCCCGGACTCATGTCACTGTCTATGTACATTGTAAAGCACCACGAAATGTGTCCGTGTTCTGAATAAAACATGTATGACGAGCCCGGAGCTCAACACGTATTTATCGGAA